TCTCTCTCTCTCTCTATATCTATCTATCTTTTTTTCTCTCTAGGTTGCAAGCTTGAGATTAAAGTCTTTTAACGACTACATGTCGCGTTCATGTCCAGCCGAGTAATTACGAATATGAATCTCGACAAGCTTTGAAATTTTGACGGGGTCCAGCTTAACTTATCCCACTTTTTCAGACGAATTTCAAATATGTTATGACTTTCCTCGCACGAAAAAATACTAACACAACATAAATTTTTGAGTTTACTGCAAAATATATCCTGTCATATTTTAATTCCATATCCAAAATATCAAAAAAAAAACTTATAAAAAATGCATTATAGGAGAAAAAAGCGTGTTAAATAAAATTTATATAGACACAGGAAAGATTTGCCAAACCTTATTTTTTTAAATAGAATCTTACACGGAAAAAAAGATTTGCTAAGCAGGATATTTAGTTTCGAGTAGCATAGTTACATCATTCTAGTTATATTTGTATGATGATAGTGTGTATAATTGGTATGGCTTTGATACATTAACTACATCAATGTAATTACGCGTAACCTAATTGTAGCAACCAGAAATCGGTTGGAGTGACATTCACCATAGATATCTGGTTGAAGTAATCATATATCGCCACTATAACTCAACCATTGCTCTGTGATTGCAGCAACCACATAATTAGTTAGGTAATTACATAATTATTTAATAATAAGTTATTCCGTATTTTACTACTGAATCTGATTGGCATAACCAGATTTATGTGTAGACCAACCATACTGTTCTTTCCGTGTATAATTTTCCTAACATAAATCAATTCCTCCAGTCACATTCTGTATATAAAATTACTAGAATAAAATCATCGCAAAATGTGGATACTATCTTCCCGAGATGTATTTTTATTTTATTCAAATACTCGTCGCAGATAGGAAGTATCTCGTAAAATTTCGATTTTTCGATAATCTAACTTTAATACTTTCGTACGTAGAATGACGGGTGAAATCGATCATGTTGTAAAAGATAAAAACATAGAAAAATTTAAACAGAATTCTGTTACATTTAGATTCATTAGTGCACCAGTGTGCAAAGATTAATATCACCGCGATCGATCTCTCTCCTCATTCTATGTATAAAAAACATTTAGATGAGGTAATCAAAAAGTGAATAGTTTACGGAATATTTCGTATCTTATATTCAAAAGTATTTAAAATATAGAATATCAATAAAGATATTCATTTGATTTGAGTTTTTTTCTATAACGTCTCGTTTTTTAAGATATTTGAAATATGCAATTAAAACGGGACATCTTGTGTATAACTCATCTCGGAAGAATTAAAGAAAAAGAATCCGTGGACGTCGGATAAATTACTGCCGAGAAAAGAAAGATGAAACATCATGTTGCACAAATCGATTATGCAAAAAATTCCGTGCTACACTCGTTAGCGTTCTCTAAAGGGAAAACGATACTTTTTAATTGGTGCAGATGTACGATCGAGACAAGCCGTTGCACACTGCCGTCTCTGTGCAGTTTTCACCGTTTTCCGTTTTTATCGGAGGAAAAGAGCACAATTACGTAATAATTAATTACGCGCTGCAACTCGTTAAAATTGTTTACGCGAGGTGTCGATGATTGACTGTAAGTAACACAACGCGAGACTGCACTTCTTTCTCCGTTTCTCCCGACGATGCTTTTATTATTGCTGGCTTTTTGTCTAAGATGTTGGTTTCAAGTCCAGCGCAAGAAGAAAACGTCTTGATTAGACGGGAAGAACTTTAATTACACAGTACGCTTGAGCGACATACCCGAGAGCGACCTCGCGAAGGAGAAGAAAACGAGAAAAGCGTGAAAATATATGTTAGTCCAAAGTCAATTACGAACTCTAGAAGTTAGTGTAAGAGTCGTACCGCAAATAATATCGAGAAATGACAAAGTAGAAATAATTCCCAACGATTCTTACTTTCAGTATGTTCATTGATTAATTAACTCGCAGTTTATCAGTAAGATATTTTTATCAAAATATCGGACTTGCTGCTAGGGAAGTTACATTAATAATTACCTCTAAACTTGCTGATAATTTACAAAACTAATTTTAACTGCATCTAAAGACTAAAGATTTCAAAGAGATAAAGATACTTTCAAACGAATGGCTAACCTGCTTTGCCTAAAGACTAAAGCTGAAGAGCCCTGAGTTCCTTCTTGTCGCACTTTTATTGCTGTTGGAATCGTTCTCTCGCTTTGTTTGCTTCCTTTGTCTTGTTTAAACAAAACATCTGTTTAAAGCCAACGATTTCTTATTTACATCATCTGATAAACTATGATTTTGTACTTGTGTTGATTTCTAAAATTCCATCTTTAACGGTTTGGACAATTATTTTATATTTCTTATATTAATTCATCAAATTTAATTAAACTGTCCAACATTTTTGTTTCGACAATGCAACAATTTACAACTAAGAGTGGGGCTTCTTTCTTAAAACAGGACTTCAACATGTGTGTAGCGTAAAACAGCAGAGGCATAAGATAAAATTAAATATATAAGAAAAGGCCAATAGGAATCAAGCGCAGGATGTCGTATGCGAGTTTAATGTGACTTAATATTATATAAGAAAAATAAGTTTTTAAGGTTTTAATATAAAAATAAGGTTTTAATATAAATAGTTCGATTGATTAATCAACCCTTTTCAGCGCAATACATAATTCGCAAATTCGAAATACGAAAGATACTCTCAATACTAAAATAATACCGGAAGACATACCGCCGGGAATATGCTGCCGGTGCTCAAACCAACATACAGTACATATTGTCTTGTAAAAAGAAATTCAATAGTGTTGTGCCTGCAGTTAACGGTAGATAAAAGCGACGGTCAGAAGAGCAAGCGTCACTCACCCAAAGCTTTCCCGACAATTGGGAGAGAGTCAAATGGAAGTCAAAGTGGAAAACTACAAACAAACAGCGCAAAATTAGCATAATAGAATATGTAATGAACAGTCAAGAGCTAAAAACATGTGAGCATAGACAACGTTCCCCAACGTCATGTAAAATAAAATTGTTCAACGGTAGCCTTGAGAGATCAACGCGTCCTCCCCGCTAATTAAATTGTTACGCGTCGCAGGCACTTCTGCAGCATACGCACCGGACTCGTCTGCTCAGCCCTCTTCAATTATCAAGCTCAACTGTTATGCGCGCAGTTTGCGGCGGTCCGATAAACTACCCCTGAAAATCCCCGACCCCGGCGAACACTATCCCCGAAAAATACGCCGACCGCGAAAGCTTAACATCTCCGGGGGTGGTATTATCCGCGAGCGGCGGGCAAATCCCTGATTCTGCACGAGCCAACGCTTGGCTGAGGCAGATTGGTGCGGGAGATCAACGAAGTGGGCAGCGACGACCCTTGCACTTGCTGGCGAAGTTTAATCAGCCGTACCTACGTACTCCGTGCCGCGCCACCCTCGGCTGCACCTTAGTGCGACGCACTTAATGGCAGCCACCCACCCTCGCGAGGAATTGATGCGACTAGAAACTCACTGTAAAATCCGCCGCTAAACCGCGAGACAAAGTTGTACGCCGTGTCGTCGAACGAATGGGCGCATTAGCGTGTTGCGCGCTGCGCGAGTTTGGAGGAGCGTGACCCCGATGTATCGTCGCTATGTGAAGTTTCGCAAACTTGCGGATTACACGATCGAGTCACAGTCATGGACATCTCCATGCACGACTGGCTCGAACGGGATTAGCGGAGAGGATCGAATCCGAGATACTGATTCTTCGTATCTCAGGATGTGAAAAAATACGCGCTGCATTCACAAGTAAATCTTACTTGTTTCAAATATTTCGTAAGCTTATACATTCGCATGTCTGTCATGTGTTCATCATATGAATCAATGTATATGCTTCAAATGCATTCAAAATACATTCTAAGTGCCAGTAAGTTCAGCATTTCAATCAGGGATATTAAATTGTGAAATTATTGTATTAAATTTAATAGTTTTAATTATATTAAATTAAAGATTCGATTGGTACCTACTGCATAAAGTCAAAACGACTTTTCCCTCAATAAAGTTTTATAATATTCTTGTAATAAAATAAATTCTTCTTTGAAGTGCATGATAATAAGCTTCTCTGAAAATTTCAATGAGTATATTTTGAGACTGTTATCGAGAAAATAACGTTCCTTATTGTAGATAACTATTACTTAAAAAAAGCAATGTAAACCGAATAATCGCTTTTCTTAACAGTAGAGTAGTATTTTTCTGTGCATATTTTTACAAAAAAAGGGAAACGAAAGTTGTCAATAAATGACTATGCTTATTTTGTATGATTATTTGTAATTGTAAATAATTATTATACGACAATAGGCCTTGTATTAACAGTCATTATATTCTTATTGTTGAAGCAACGACAATGTGATCACACTTTCTTAAAGTGAATCAGTGAATAGTCACTAATATCAGTTATAAATATAGCACTGAGCAGTGTCAGTGCTGTACTTATAGCTGCAAATCAGTATATATTTACTGCTTTCAATGATGTTTCACTGATTCACTTTAAGAAAACAGTGAACAAATAATTATATATCTTCACATAAAATATCTTCACATGATGGTACGAAGAAACAGAATCTTAGAGCAGATCCCTTCGCGCATGAACACGTTCAATTGTAATCTCAAAATGTACTCACTTTTGTTGATTATTGTTTGCAGTGGGCATAGGAGTTGGCACTCTCGGCGGCGGAACTGGTATAGCCTTCCTTCGGCCTCCACCAGTTTGATGTACTGTCGGTGTAACTCTCCCGGTTGGTGCTATTCGGCCGGCAGTTCGCGGTCTCTCCGCTCGCACTTCCATGTTGCGTGTCTGCAAACAAATAAAATAGAAAGTTCTATTAATGACAAATTCGCATTTTACTATGAAATGCGAATTTGTTTACATCGCGACAAACAGTGAAGGCAAAATAAAAGGAAGAAAAAGAAAAAAAGCATGCTAAATTTACGTCGAAAAATGTTGTATATAAACGATTTACGATGCATTCTTCTTTAATTTATTCGTTATATCAACAATATTGTGCTGCGGAAAACGCAATACACGTCACCGGAAAAACGTGAAATCGAAATGAATAGAAAACCGTCTGCGAGCACGGCGCAAAAGTATCGCTTCTCCGTAACTACCGCGGCGCCGAACATCAGAGAAATGATGATAAACTTCGAAAGAGCGAATGTTTGGCAAGGACTGACAAGAAAAACGAAAAAGACCGGCTGGCGTGACTAGCAACATTAAAACTTCTGCCTCGTGGTGTGCGTCGTCGACTTCGTGGTTCGCTCCCCCTCTCGCGCATCTGCTTCCCTTCATTTATCCCAACTAGTTTAACGTGCCGAACGGATCTGGATACGATTCAGTGACGTTACCATTTACCTCAGGAATATACCGCAGAAGCGTCCGGAACGGAAAATCCAATCAATACGTACACGCGCGTTGTGACACGTCACATTCGTCCCAAAATTTATCAATAGGCGTGATTATATAACAAATCTATGGAACACGAAAACAAGTCTATGAAAGACACGGTATCAAACCGTAAGCTAAACTAGATATTGCTCCGCGCCACGAAAGCCTCAAATATCAGACACCATTAAGTCTCAAAATGGATTTATGGATCAAATGTTTTCAAGCAATTTCAACTACGTGAGATTTCCCGGAAACCTGCGCATTCTGATCCGCGGATTCCTAGTCGGAAAAAAGTTTATAGTTAAGAAGCCTATACAGACCAGATGGCCTGGTATCGGTTAGTTTCTGTTCATTTGTCCAACGGCGACAGCGGACACAAACGGCTCATGAATCCAGTTTTCCTTTAGGAAAAGTCGAATTTAAAAAAACTGCTTATTGTTAGTATTCATTTTTCTAGTATAAATAAAAATATTTTGAAAGTTTGAATAACTGAAGCTGAAATCATAAGATTTCTCTGCATAAATTGCTTGTGAAAAATTATTTTAGAATTTATCTCAAATATGAAATGTTTGTTCTTTGTATTTATAATGCGCTTATAAGAATTTATATTTTATAATATATTCCATAGAAACACAAAAAAATATACAAACTATTTTTTTAATTTTAATGTGTTATATTCCATAGAAACACAAAAAATACACGAACTATTTTTTTAATTTTAATGTGTCCACCTCTTTTATAATATGCACTATTTTTATGCACTATAATTAGTATATTTATATATTTTTTAAGTGATAATTATTCTATCATTTTTTTTTTCAATTATAGACTCTATACTAAGGAACTTGGAAAATATTTCTTTTATAAGTCAAATTTAGACAAACTAAATTTTTTCAGATATACCATGCTAACACAGACAGTTTCTCATTAAAAAAGAACAATATAAAACAAATATTCAAAAGACACTGTTATCTAATTCAATAGTTTGAGAATTTAATTGATGCTACAATAAACTTTCGTGAATTTTTTCAGAATTTTCTAAGAGCACACATTAATATTTAATTAATTTTTAATATATAAGGCGCGCATATAATAGAATTATAAGCCCGGTTTACGTTGATGGAAAGTTCATTTTGAAGTTTAGAAATAAGAATAAATAAGGATGAAAAATATTAATAACAACGGCCGAAGCGCGAACTCAGTTATTCATCTGCGCGTTCGTTGCATTTATGCGCGATGCAATTTATCTCGCGATTATCCTTAGAAAAAAGAGAGAAAGGTGATACGAAGGAGGCTGACGTCTCGAACTGACGCCTCCCACTCTCGACTACCCTGTAGTCTATGGTTGACGAAAGAAAGAAATGCACCCGTTACAATCTCGCCGGTAGTGCAACATTGTCGCGGATGCTTTGGTGTCGTGGGCGCAGGGAGCGCGGGCGACGTCGGCGAAGGAGGAGACAAGGAGGAAGGGTAGAACGACGGTCGGCGCGATCATTATTTCCCGACGTGTGTAGTCCACTGAGATGGGGATGCCGGCGAAACAATGCGCGCCAGCAAGTTGGTTTAAATATTCAGCCTTCGGGGCGCGGATACGCGCCATTCGCGCTCGCGCGCGCACGGATGCAACAACTTGAGACGAGAAGCCGTGTACCGAGGTAAAGAGGAAAGAAGGGAGAGAATTTATTACGTTCTAGGATAAAATTCTTCCCGAGCGACTTGATGGAGGAGGAAAGCTCCATAACGGTTTCAGATAATAAAACAAGATTATTGGAAAATGAACTGTGTCCGGCCCCGGAGGAAACAATGGAAGTTATTAAAAAATTCCCACTAAGGCGATTAGAAAAATGCTATTTTAATACTCCTCCCTCCTTCTTTCTCTTTCTTTTTCATTTTCTTTTTAGTGCGGTCAATCACAATTATTATACGATTTATTTCAAAATTATGTTATACATGGAGAGAATATTATAATAAGAATTACAATAAAATTCTTATAATCCCTTGGACCATATAGAATTATGACTAAAATTATTATATATTTATTAAAAAATGTTATACACGTTTGTACTACAAAACCTTTTACTCTTTTTTTTAACTATTATAATTACTTGAAATTTTTATTTTATATCGTATACCAGGTAAATTATCAAATTTACACATTATTTCAATAATAATTTATATTACAATTTTAGTATATTGTCCAGTTTCATAAAAACTGTTTCTTACACTGTAAGAATAAATATAATTTTAACGTAATTTTTGCTATAATATTTTCACCGTGTATACAAATACGGCAATAACCATGTGTCGTGTAAAAAGCAAGTCAATAAAAAGGAATGTTATAAATAAATAAAATTCCTGCTCATAAAAGCGGTATTTATATGACCTTAAAGTATTTACCCGCTGAATTTGCCGTTAGAAAAATTTCTCGTCTCATGCTGAAACTTTCTACCTCGCTATACGCTCAACTCTCTCTTTTTCTTTTCTTCTCTCGCAATTCGTACGTCTCGCAATTCGTACACAGATACGAACACTTTACGATTGCACGGGCTCGCGCGTAAAAAAATTCGCACGGAGGGAGACGAAATATATCACGATCTCGGTGACTGTCGGGGACCGGAGCAGACGAGCGGGAAAATCAACTCCCAGCAACGGAGCGGCGCCGACCGGTGGCTTCACAATAGGGAGCATCTGCTTAGCAAATTGCGAAAAATAATAACGTTTGCGCCAAAATCCGTGGCCCGGAGCGCCGTAGGAGCCTGCGAAGCTGCCGTGCTGTATATCGTAACACAATAACGCCCACTCGTGGAACTGCGTGAACTCGGAGAAGGGTGAATGCAAAAGCGGGCGCGCGAGAGAGAGAGAGAGAGAGAGAGAGAGAGAGAGAGAAAAAGAGAGGGTGTGAGGTGCAAAACGAGCGCCGTAGTACAATTCCCCTCGTGGTAGTGCACCACGAAAACAATATGTCGCGTATACACGCAGAGGATCGCGTACATGCTCGTCACGCGTGACACGGAGTCACCCAGCCGAAGGCGATTCCGGGACTTCTTTGTGACCCTCACTTCCGCACCTTTGACGGTGAATGCGTCGTCGTCAGCCGTGCGTATTTCCTGCCGAGGATTCTCTGCCGAGAACTTGAGCATTCCGAATATTAACACCGCGATCGATCAACGCTAAATCATCCGTTACTGGGGATTTCTATCGAGCTACATATCACCTCCAAAACGTCGTACTTCATAAGTACGATAATACTTCATAAGTCGAGCTTAGCGTGCACGTGTATTGGCGCTTTAAATGTCGTTGAAAAACAATATTTTAACGTGGAGAAACGTCTGCTTATTGCCGGGGAATTTCGAGAGAGCTCGCTTAAAGATATACTGCTTATATCTTAAAAGTAATGGAAAAATGATGAAAAAATTAGAGATTAATCTATATTTTAGAAGTGAACACCAACAATTTGACATTGATTTAGAATCTGGATCAAAAGTTATGACTTCGAATTGTAAGCCCAACGAGACGTCAATAATGACGTCAAATGATATTTTAATGACACATTAATTACATTTCTAATATATTTCTAATATTTATAATACGTCATTTCAAAAGTCATTCTACTATTTGGCAATATTTTAAGTAATGTTGTTATAGAAATATATGATGTTGCTATCTTTAGTAAAGAAGGGCGATTAAAAAATAATAACAAAACTGTCAAAATTTGTAAATACATGTATACATGTATTAAATATTTATAAAGTTATGTGTGTAAAGTTTTATTGTAGCTCAGAGATAAAAAATCTCAAAATAAGAAATTGTATAAAATAAAGTAAATGAACTATAAAAATGTGATGTTATATAAAGATATGTTGTTATTGTATCGTATACCATACGTTTTTATAAGAAAAATAACGATATTAGCGCATCACAGCGGCCGTCAGAATGTCAAGTATTAATCTATAATTAAGAGGATGCTGAAGTCGATGACGAACAATGTTGATAATGCAAAGACGATCGTCATTAACACAATCACGGTATCTTTTTCGTATTTCTTATACATACAGAACTTACAATGTTGTTTTATCATATTCAGCAAAAAAACTAATCCATGCACATGTGTAGAAATCTTTCTGCAAACTTTTCGGATATTTTTAAGCTTCTGAATCGCAAAGGTGCAGCAATTTTCTTTAAAATTGTTCTGTTTGGGGCATCCACACGTTCAATATTTACAAGCTGCGGAACTATAAGATTAAGCAAATTGGATTACGCTAACTGACAGTTTGAGATTTTATATTTAAAATTTTTGCTCGTTTTCGTTTTATATTGAACACTGTTCCTCTTTATTTTTTGCACGTAATTTAATTATGTAAAAGCCTTTGTAATTCTATAGAACTAACACGACGTGAATTTTGCAGAAAAAT